TTGGGAAGCTGGAGGTGGTCAAACAGGAGATGGCAAGAATAAACATCGACATTCTGGGCATCAGTGAACTAAAATGGGCGAGTTCAATTCAGATGATTATCGTATCTACTATTGTGGGCAAGAATCCCGTAGAAGAAATGGAGTAGGTTTCATAGTTAACAAAAGAGTGGGAAAAGCTGTAATGGGATACAATCTCAAAAATGATAGAATGATTTCAATATGAATCCAAGGCAGACTTTTCAACATCACAATAATCCAAGTTTATGCACCAACCACCAATGCTGAGGAGACTGAAATTGAACAATTCTATGAAGACTTACAACACCTTCTAGAACTGACACCAAAGAAAGATGTTCTTCTCATTCTCTAATTCATTACACTCTTACATTCAGTAGTTACAAAAGCCAGCTGCTTTTCAACATAGAGCGACTGCACTTTTTCGCTCATATCACTTACAGTGAGTGTAGTCCCCATTTCGATGGACCGCCTTCTTTCTCACTCAGCTTCTGTGCTTTGCTTCCTTGTATCTCTGGAGCTGGCTGTTCCAATGGGGTGATTCTGTGAAGGGATTGTTTGGATTGAAGGGTACAGAATTCCATGGTTAGTGAACATGCTTGTACATCAGCGTTTGGGCAGTTTGCTAGCCCCTTATTCCAAAGCACCTTCTCTTTTCATGTTTACAGATACAGGCTCTAATTGCTTGCTAACTAGAACTGCAGAGGGATAATAGTAACTTGAAATTTGAACACATCTTTCAGCCATATGGCTTCCCCGAACTGCTTACAGCATTAAACACCATCCTGTTTAGAAGTATTCAGTGGAGTGGGAAACTTTATCTTGAAAACCAGCTACAAAAAGCAACAGAGAATTACTAACAGCTTCGGTATTGGGTTCCAAATCAAGGGTGGGAAATATCTGGTTCTTTAGGTGCTTTGAACTTCAGCTTCCAGAAGGCTCCAGCAATCTTGGCAATGAACAAGACATGATAGGGACATGTAGTCTAAAATATCTGGAATGCCAAAGGCTTCCCTTTGAGAAACACAAGTTAGAAAACAATTGAGTCAAGAGATATTCAAGAGAAAATTGGACAACCCTCTGTCAAGATCTGCTCTGATTCTGATTCCTGCATTGAGCAGGGGGTTGGACTCAATGGCCTTAGGGGTCCCTTCCAACTGAATTATTCTGATTCTTCTAAAAACCTGGAACAAGTTGGCTAAATGGACTGTCTCAGAAGGGGGTTGCAGAGAATCGATACTGGTACAGGTGGTCCCAAATCTGGATAAAGAAAGACTTACTCAGGTCCAAGTTGGTCTTCCTCTGATTCTGTCCAGGAAGGTGAGCTAACATAGCGATGTAGCAATGGTCGCTTCTCACCTTGTTTCGCTCCGAGTAAGCCCCTATGGGAAGAAGGTGAGCATGCTTTACTGATTTTGCCGTGGGGCAGCAGACCACCCACTGCAGAACCAGACCAGCTCCAAGGCAGCATCCATGTCTTTAAAGTACTAACGTTGGCCACAGGATGCACCCCACGCCACCGACACACACACACATACTGCAGTATTCATGCGCTGGGTGACCTGGGATGGTCATTGGCTGCCCAACCTACCCAAAAGGGCTGTTGTGAGTATAAGGGGAGGGGTTCCCTTGTATGCAAAGGACCACATGCTTGGGGATAGGTCACAAACATAACTCCAATCTATACTGGACACAACTGATGATAGCCCTCTGAACAGCTACCATAAAAAAATATTGGTGAAAAAATACAGCTTTTACCAGCTTTCCAAAGCTGGACACATCATGTATGGTGATGATGGGAGTGTTTATCTATTTATATCTACGTCTTTCTTGCCTACATGTCGCCACGTTCCCATACATCTATCATCCTTACCAACTTGAACGTCTGCAGAATTTGTCATTCCTGTCACTTCCATCTGTTTCGTTTAGCTGAGCCTTGGGGAGGAAAAATGAAGGAGAGGTGAGTTTAGCATGTATCTGCCCAATATATTTAGGGTTATAAATCAGCAATGCGGGGAAATAGCCACATACCAGCAGCGAAGCAGAGGCAGAATATAACGCACAACTCTGTACAAATAAATAGGCCAATCCTTTTTCCTGAGCAGGATATACTTATGACCACCCGAAAGCCATATTTGAAGGACTCACAACGCTTTTAGACAAATCCCGAAGTCAAAACACCATCTCATTAGAACTACATATGCAACCATCAACCCTTAAATTTTGCTCTTCAAAAGCCAAATCGTTTGAGTCTTGCAATTTAGTTGCCCTAAGTTCCCATAGTTTTGCCAAAGAGGTCTTTCAAACCAGAAACTGGGGAGTAGAAGAGCAAGCAAGATAGAAAGAAAGAAAACACATAAGCAAGATACAGCAGTGGCATCTATTGATAATCATCTCTTCCTTAGGACAGTCGAGGTTTTCTGTCTAATTCTATGTTTTATGCAAAGGGCCCATTATTGTGAAGCTTTTAACCCTGGTTGGACCTCCCAGTATGTATGAATTCCAAATGAATTCAATGGGAACCTTTTTCTTCTTCTAGATTGCACCCACTGCTTGCGGCTTCTGTTTGAGCAACAAGAACTAGAAAAATAGGTATCTCAAGAGCCTGAGTTCTATTCCAGACTAAGCTTCTGGGCATACCGATCAAGGCTTTCAGCCAACCTTTTAGTTTTTGAACTCGATATTGTCCTGTGTATACCATAGGGGTGAACAACTCGCAAATCCCACAGGGTTTTTTGGGGGGTCTCCCCAATGCCCGTTGGAATCAAGTGGGGGATATGGTTAGAAGACACACCAGCCAACATCCGACTGGTGAATTATTGGTAAGAGAAATCGTGTTCCGCCGGAGTAGTGGCGGTAAATTGCTGCATATTAGCGAGTTGCTGGCTGCAATCCTAGCCACACAGCTGGGAACGCACCTTGTTAATGAGCTTCAATTTGCCACTGTGACTCACATGATTTTCCTGATGGGCATGTAAATCACTAACAGGCGTGTGATGAGCATGCACCTTGTTTTAAAGGGAAAAAGTGTGCACTCTGAAATCCTCCCAGAAGTATAATTCTCTTTCAAACCAAGTTGTATGCTTTCTGCATGTTCTGTTTTAAACTAAAAAAAAGGTCAATGGGGGGGGGAAGAGGGCACAAATTGGTCCCCAGACTCACTTAAATAATCAGCCCGGCTATATACTGCATATACTTCCTATATAAACAATATGCATTTATTTCGCTTTGGCCAACTGCCAAAGCCAGCAGGAAATAGGAGAGGGGGACTCCAAGGTCCCAATGCTTCCTTTCTCTTTGATGGCGGCAAAGTCTGATCACCTCAACTTTGTGTCCAAGGTGCACAGAGGTTGCCTACTCACTCTGTTGCAATATCCACACCGTTTAAAGGCTGCCGCTGAGAGAACATAAACTGTCTGGATTCCAAAGTCTGGATGAAAATACCAGCCGGGTTGGTTTTTGCAAAAGGGCAATGTAAGCATACATAAACGGGTTGGGCGAAGAGACCGCATTAGAAGTAGACATTTCAGCACATTCTATACGGAAAGCAACCCAATGCTCAGTCACAAACAAGAGAGCTTTACACAGCATGGGGAAAAGCCGCACAACCGAGGGCAGACGCACGCAGAAAGCGGCAAGCTTAAAACGGCAGCAGCACCTATACCTTTAGAGAACCAGGGTGCTTTTTAATCGAAGATTCGTCTGTAAGAGCAAGAGAAGTGGGATAAAAAACATGAATTTTGTGTTGTGGTCAAGGAAGCAACGGGCTCCGCCATCAGCAATTGTGCCTTCGGCGTGCCTTGGCAGAGGGCACCACCAAATAAAGATGTAGGGAATGAGGATCCCGAAGAGGTACCAGCATGCCCTCTGGCCTGACTGGCTTGAGGGGAGGGGAGACGCCTTGGCAGGACTGGCTCAAGACATTTTGCCACTCTACCACAACTGACAACGTGATGCAACGCCTTTCTTTTTGTATTTGCGAAGGCTTTCACAGCCGGGATCTAATGGTTGTTGTGGGTTTTTCGGGCTCTTCACAGCCATAAATACTGCACTCCCAAGCCAACTACACCAGAGCACAGAGTGCTGTCCTCTGAAGATGCCGGCCACAGAGATTGGCAAAATGTTAGGAAGAACAACCTTCAGAACACGGCCAAAGAGCCCGAAAAACCCACAACAACCAGCCTTTCTTTTTCTTTGTATTTTGATTTTTTGTATTTCTTTTTTTTTTCTTTTCATATTTGGACACTGCTTTGGTGCTGGCCAAAAGGACCATCTTTCCCCCCCACACAGTTGAGAGCTGCAGGAGGAGAGCCTCACAGTGCAATGGTTAAACTGCATCACTGCAGTCAAGACTCTACCCAGGAGGTGAGTTTGGTTCTGAAGGGCTCAGGAAACTGGATCGAGGTTGATTCTGCTTTCCACTCTTCCGAGATAAGTAAATTGAGTACTCAGCTTGCTGGGGGGTGGGAGCGGGGTGTGTGGCAATGTATATCCTGCATAATTAAATTGTTCACCTCCCAGAGGGGGTGGTATATAAGCAGTATACTTTGCTTTGCTCTAGGGAGGTACCGGACAGGCTGGTGGTGGTGGTGAAACGGGACTCAGGAGGAATCATTGAGAAACAACTGGTGTTTCTCCGAATCCGCTCCCTGAGATGGTTGTTTACTGAATGGCAGGGCCAGCCACGGCTGTAATAAGGGTAAAGCAATCAGGGATTTGACCCAGGGTGTCAAAATTTAAAGGGAGCCAAAATGTGCTGCTGGTGAGGAGATTCTTCCCCATTGTAACTTTTAAGATCCAAGCATATATGCTAAAACCTCCGCACTGGAAAGGTGCCCACCACCCCAAACCTTCATCATGCCTCAGACTGCTTCTCCTTGGGTGGAAAGAAACACAGAGCAGGTGACCTCAGCAATAAACCAAGACTGGTTACCACAGTAGCTGAAGGACTCGCCATTACAGTGTTTTGCCCACAAAGCTTGTCTTCGCCACGAGAATAGGTGGCACAAAAAATGTAGCTATGCCTGCATGTGCACCATCTGAGCTTGGAGAAAGTTATCGTATTTTTTTTTGTGTATAACACACTCCCATGTATAAGATCCCCCCCCCAATTTTCTAACCCAAAATTAAGAAATCTAAGTGGGACTTAGCAAGTGGAGGGGAAAGCAAGGATCAAAGCCCTGCAGGATTGCTTTGATCCCTGCTTTTCCCTCCACTTGTTTTTGTTCTCTCCTCAGCTTACTTCTGTGTATAAGACAATCCTCAATTTTTAGTCTAAAGATTTCAGACAAAAGTATAGTCTTATACACAGAAAAATATGGTACTTATTTAGACTGTGCCTCATAGGCAATCCTCCCCCCTCCACCAGATTTTGGTCCGATCTGCGGTCCAAAAGTTTGACCCAGGTCTGCCCAGGCCAGTCCATGGAAGGAATTCAGAGATGTGCCATGTTTGAGGGATGTTAAGAAGCCATCCATGCCCTGTGTGAAAGGAAGAGCGCAAGCAGCTAACCGCTGTCACAGCCACACAGCTTCTGTCAGCATATTGTCAGCCGTTACCTCGGTCGCACAAGGAGCCAAAGGACTTTTCATTCTGGAGCAGAATCCCTTTCAGCTCCTCAAGTTCTGCATGCTCTCTGGCGTATGTACGTTTCAGGTTTTCCACATGCTGAATCATCACCTCTACAGCCTTACTGACTCGACTCTCCTAAGGAAGAAAAGTTTGCCTGCTTTTGGTTTGTACATTGTAGTCATTGGGGAAATCAAAGTCTGCCTTTGCCTGTCTGATTTCCCAGGCATGTAGCTTTGAAGGATTTACATGCCCAAGGGGAAATGTTGCAAGAGCAAAAAAAAAGCATATTTCTGTTCAGGTGTGACCCTTAAGAAATTTGCAAGCACTGAATGGTTTATCCAGAATAAACTTGAAGTTATTCCTTCCCAACCAGACGTACAACAGCATTTCTAGAACCAGAACCTGGAATGACAGGAGGACCCCCTTATCCACAGGATCAGTATCTGCTGATTCACTTATCCACAGTCTGAAAACATTAACAAAAATATTTTAAAAAAATTCTAAAAATCTATGTACTTCTAAAGGTGAAGTTACCAGAACTGGCCAACAGAGGGAGTCAGAGTCCATGCTATGTATAGTGTTTGCTATCATCCACATTTTTCAGTATCCGTGGGGGCAGGAGCTCGGAACGAATCCCCTATGGATACAGAGGTCCCACAGTGTCTCTTCTGGAATGGGTCAGACTTACTTGATGAACAGCTCCCAGCATTTCTGCCTTGCTGGCAATCCTAGTGGCATGCTGGTTCAGAAGGTCCAGGCTCTTCCGCAGTTTCTTAACTATTTCTTGAGCCTGGTTGTCTTCACTTAGAGCGGCTAAAGACTAGGGAAAAAGGGAGAAAGAAAGGGAAACAGAAGTTGTGTTCAAGCCACTTGAAGAGGAAATCGTAGATACTTGAGGCGGAACAGGATGTGACAAACAAAACTGGAAAATTTACTCCTTTTTTTTAACTACAGCTCACAGATCGCATGAGTGCATATTGAGATATTAACTGAATTTTCTAGACTTGGGGAACCATACAGAGGATGCCCTCTCTCTGTCAACACTGGGTCCTTCCTGTTGAAGTAACCATTTCCAGTGAGTTGGCTAATCACGAGCATACAATAACAGGAGAAGGCTGTATACAGAGAGGCAATAAACAAATGCTTTAAATAAATAAACCTTCTTTGTGTGAAGTCAGGTATTATAATATTTAAAGGACAGTGGAAGCCATTTCCTCATCTGTAGTAGATGTTGTACTGAGCACATCATTATTTATTTTATTTATTTATTCAATTTGTATCCCGCTCCCATTAGTGCCGAGGCATGTATAACAGAGAACAAAAATAAAGATAATGATAACATTAAAAGCAACAACAAGGACCCTAAAAAGAGATGGCACAGACTAATCACGTCACTGGCGCTAACCAATCAGTACCCTCTACTGTAAACTTTTGCATACCTCAAACTGAAAATTTACAAAAAAACAAAGCTTGTCCCAGGGAGTGAAAAGCTGCACATTTGAGGTACTTTTCAACAGAAACCCAACCCCCTAAAGCATGATCAGTCTCTTCACCTTTGAAGACAAAGCCACGGCAACCACGAGGCATTAATACGCACGTCATAACCCCTTCTTTCTTTGCTTACATCAAGTAGTTTCAAGGCGCCAGCAGTCTCCTTCCTCAGGTTTCCTTCAGCCAGATCTCGCGACCTTTCTTCCAGTCTGACTCTCTTCTCCAGAGTAAAGAGGTCACACTTAAACCCCAGAGAGAGCCGAAGAAATTCTGCCTGTCAGGAGAAGAAATACATGCAGGTAAACTATATCTCCTGATCAGAAGACATTTTTCTGTTCATGCCTTCCACTCATCTTTCCCAAAGATGGAAAGCAATTTAGTGTTTTGTACAGTGGGAGTGAATAATGGTGAGAAGCACACCCCATAGTACAGTGGGGTCTTGACTTGAGAATTTAATCCATATTGGAAGGCGGTTCTCAAGTCAAGAAGTCTGTAAGTCAAGCTGTCTGTAAGTCAAGGGTCCACTGTAGACATAAAATTGGAGGACTGGATTGGGGCAAACCCACTGAAGGGCTTATCTACCCTGGCCCTTTGGGGGTGGGCCTGGCGTAGTCTAAATAGGGTCACTTGAGGTTGAGTGGCGGTACAATATACCATTTGGTGTGATGCTCACATCCAAATGGCATATGGGCCTCAAGTGAACCTTATTTAGTCCTGTTCCTCCTGCTGTCAATTTCCAGTATTGTGAAGTGGCTTAATAAGTGAGCCACTTCAGGATACTAGCAAATTGAACACTTCCACTGCTCCTTGGTGGAAGGGCAGGGTAAGTGAAACTATTGGATTTTTATTCTGCTACACTTTCGCTGATGTGGTGTATCACTTAGATTAAGATTTTTTGTGAACCTTATTTAGTCCTGTTCCTCCTGCTGTCAATTTCCAGTATTGTGAAGTGGCTTAATAAGTGAGCCACTTCAGGATACTAGCAAATTGAACACTTCCACTGCTCCTTGGTGGAAGGGCAGGGTAAGTGAAACTATTGGATTTTTATTCTGCTACACTTTCGCTGATGTGGTGTATCACTTAGATTAAGATTTTTTAAAAAAAATCTTTGCCTTTATTTGAAATGCTGATCTTAAACCATGGCTGCAGAAAAATCTTTGCCTTTATGTGAAGTGCTGATCTAAACCATGGCTGCAGACAGTTTCTCAATCTACACTACACAGAAGGCAAAGAGAAAATATTTTTAATTTAAATAGACGTCAAAAGCAGAGCTTGGAAGATTATTTGAAAGGATAATCAATGACTATAAAGGCATAGTAAAACCAATAGTAATTGGAATTATGTTCTCTTAACCCGGCATGCTTCTACCACTGCTCAGTTACCGTGGGGGGGGGGTGTTGTTCAGTATGTCATAATGTAGGACTCTATTCGTTTTAAAAAAGCACTTAAGTTCGGAACTGAAAAGTATTTAAAAGGCAATCTATCCATATCTCTTTCTCTCTCTCTTTCTCTCTCAGCACACATCAGAGATGCTAGTTTACATATGTATAACTACAAATTACTTTGAAAAATCAAATAGTGTGATCACAGTTTGCTGTCCTCTGAAGATGCCAGCCACAGAGACTGGCGAAACGTTAGGAAGAACCACTTTCAGAACACGGCCAAGAAGCCCGAAAAACCGACAACAACCATTAGATCCCAGCCGTGAAAGCCTTCGCAAGTACATCAAATCATTACATTTTGTTCCACCTCATAAAATGTTCTCTATTTCCTAGGCTTTCAGGAAAAAGAGCATCTGAAGTTTAGCAGTCTTCATACATGTGGGTTTCTCTCTAAAGAAAATATATTAGGTGGGCTTACAATATATGACTGTGTAGCTGGCTGAATAGCTCAGTGGTTTAGGTATTTGGCTGTGGAGCCAGAGGTTGGAAGTTCAATTCCCCAGTAGGCTTCCAAAGAGAACAGCCAGCCTGTGTGGCCTTGGGCAAGCTGCACAGTTGCAGGGCAACGCTCTGTGTAGCTGGCTGAATAGCTCAGTGGTTTGGGTATTTGGCTGTGGAGCCAGAGGTTGGAAGTTCAATTCCCCAGTAGGCTTCCAAAGAGAACAGCCAGCCTGTGTGGCCTTGGGCCAGCCGCACAAACCCAGGACATCCCTAGAAGAAGGGAATGGCAAAGCACTTCTAAGTATTCTCTGCCTGAGAAACCCTGGAAAATGGTCATCATAAGAATTGGCTTGACAGCACATTATTATTGTTATTTTTACAATAGCAGTAGTAGGAGGATTTTTTTCCCCTCGCTTACAAGACAAAACCAGACCCCACTCAAATATAAGAATTGACTTGACAGCACATTATTATTGTTGTTGTTATTACAATACCAGTAGAAGGAGGATTTTTCCTCCTTGCTTACAAGACAAAACTAGACCCCACTCAAATGAATGGGAGTTGTTAGTCAACATTAATATACATCTCATGGATGTTGATGGGTGTCTTCTCTAGTTGGCCCTCAAATTGTATTTCACTCATACAGGTTAAAACACTTGACAGCACATTATTATTGTTGTTGTTATTACAATACCAGTAGAAGGAGGATTTTTCCTCCTTGCTTACAAGACAAAACTAGACCCCACTCAAATGAATGGGAGTTGTTAGTCAACATTAATATACATCTCATGGATGTTGATGGGTGTCTTCTCTAGTTGGCCCTCAAATTGTATTTCACTCATACAGGTTAAAACACAGAGAAGTATGAGGGCACTTCTAGAGAGATGACAGGATTTCTGTTGGGATGGAGCAGCCAGAAGAACAGCAAATAGCACATGATTTACCTCTGTTTCCTTTTCACTGGGAGATGCGCTGAAATCAAAGAGGAAAAACTGTATTAGCAAAGCACAGAATAAATTACTCCCATGTGTCTTTACAGAATTGAAAATCTATTGCAGCCCATACAACTGCCAACTTAGCTGCAACATTTTGAAAATACAGTTAGATACCGTGAAGTGTGGAGATCCCCCTCATTGCAACTTTGAAATATACCGTATTTTTCGCTCCATAAGATGCACCTTTCCATAAGACGCACCAGTTTTTTAGGAGAAGAAAACAGGAAAATATAATCTGTTTTCTTCGCTCCATAAGACGCACAGACTTTCCACCCCCCTGTTTTGTGGGGAAAAGTGTGTCTTATGGTGCGAAAAATACGGGTAACTGTGCATACGTATTATGATTTAGGAATTACAGAAAGATAGCTGATGGATTTCATATGTATAGCAAAGGGCCAATTATAGTGTTCCTATATATTTTCTTTGGTCTGTTCTCACTCTCCAAACACTCCATTGGAGTAGATGTCCCCTGGTTCCAGTATTGCATGAGAGGGAAAAGAGCTTCCCTCTCTCTCCACTTTATCCATTCCCTGCATCATTTTATACGTCTCAATCATGTCCCCCCCCCCCGACCCCTTTTCTCTAGACTAGGTAAAGGTAAAGGTAAAGGTACCCCTTGAGAATTTGTCCAGCCGTGTCCGACTCTAGGGGGCAGTGCTCATCCCCGTTTCCAACCCATTGAGCTAGCGTTTGTCCACAGACAATCCTCCGTGGTCAGGTGGCCAGCAGGACTAGACACAGAACGCCGTTTACCTTCCCACCAAGGTGGTACCTATTTATCTACTTGCATTTTTGCATTTTGCATGCTTTCGAACCACTAGGTTGGCGGGAGCTGGGACAAGTGACGGGGGCTCACTCCGTTGCGTGGATTCAGTCTTACGACTGCTGGTCTTCTGACCCTGCAGCACAGAGGCTTCAGCAGTTTAACCCACAGCACCACCACGTCTCTAGACGAAACAGCCCCAAACACTGTAACTTGTCCTCCTTCTTAAAGGAAGATCAAGGAGGCATCCTTAAAAGAAGGAAATTCAAAGCAGCATCCTGAGACTATCAAAGGAACATCCTGAGGAAACAAGTTCAAAGGAATACCAATTTAGATTACTCATTTTATGACCCTTTGGATGTTTCCTATGTAGCTACAGATGATCTTTAGTTCTGGCTGTAGACTGTCTTTGACAATACTGGCTCAGTATTGAATAAAGGCTTTCTGAGCCTGCAATGCACCTCCTTACAAATTATTAACAGAAAAGTTCTCCACAGAAGCAGTCTCTTTTGAGTGGTGGATGCTGGAGAAGAGGATGTGAGCGTTTGATCTTGGCCTTCCCTATGCCACAGGTCCCCAAACATGGTTAGGCAAAGAGAAGACGGAAGCTTTTTTGAGAAGAGGAAATATGAACTCAAAAATAAAGCAAAAGACAAATCGCCAGATAGATTACTGAAGCCGTGTCCCAAATGTTCGCATTTGAGGTAGCAAGAACTCAACAATGTTCAAGATCAGATGACTGGGAAGGAGAAACTGAGATGCTTTTCCATCCCTCGAGGAGATCAGCTTTAACGTGCTGAAAGAGTTCCTGTCAAGCTCAGCATGAAAAGGGGCAGTAAACTTCCTTTTCCACATCAATTGCAAATAGGGACTAGAATTGTAAATTTGCTTTATCCTTATTCATCAGACACTGACAGCGAACATTCCAGAGCAAACGACATGGTGGACTTCTAGTGATATAGGAGGGATGGAGCTGGTACTCTGGGTAACAACCACCTCCATAGGATCTGGTACTCACTTGCTCTTCTGCCTGCTTCTACACACAGCCACCCTGGACAGATTCTCAGTTGAAGAAGAATCTCCTGCTGAATGGAGCAAATAGCAGATTTAATGTTTAAAAAAACCTTGCCATTATACAGAGGAGAACATTTTATAATGCACAAAAATGAAAAGCAGAACAGGCTGTTCATGGTCAAAGTGGCTTCCCTTCTTTCCTTAGCCAGAACTGCATAATTGGCATTATGTTTGACTCAGCATGGGTTACAGCTTGAGAAAATTCCATCTTTTTTTTTTACTGCTTCTCCCAGAATACTTTAGGCAGCATTGACCACTGGCCCAGCAAAACGCGAAGCTCCACTCAGAGGAGAATCGAGTAAGCCACACTATAATACATTTGGGTCAAAGCATACTTTCAAAGAAATGCGCCTGTCAATTATAGTTTTTGGAGAAATTAAATGGCAGGAAAAATTATAGGGAGTCTGAATGGGAAATATAGAAAATGTAAAAGGCAGGAAGCTGGTACGTACCGTATTTTTCGCTCCATAAGACGCACCAATTTTTTTAGGAGAAGAAAACAGTAAAATATAATCTGTTTTCTTGCTCCATAAGACGCACAGACTTTCCACACCCCCTGTTTTGTGGGGAAAAAGTGTGTCTTATGGTGCGAAAAATACGGTATATAAAATGTATTGAACTGCCCAAATATGGTGTTAAGGAAGTTACTCCTAGAAGATTCATGTTCCCGAGAGAGTCAAAGCTCTGCATCATGATGTTTTGTCAAACTCAAAATATCAAAAGCATATAAAACAAGAGATTTTTATCACATTAAGGGGAAAAAAAATCTCAAAGGATGCAAAAGACACTTTGTTTTGCAAACAAGTGGAAAGACACAGCCGGACTGAGAGCAGATCTAGATTAGATTAGGGAGATCTAGATTAGATTAGGCATCCTTCAGTCTCGAGAGACTATGGTAACGTGCTTTGAATAGAGGACTTGGAACAGCATCTAGTGTGGCTGTTAAGGCCAATTCAGAGTGACAAGCCCTTCCACCTTGGGAGATAGTCATAGGAATAATAACATAAAGGCTGGAAAGTCTGGGTGAACTTTTGTCTTTTTAGAGAAAATATTTCATAACATGCTTAGAGCTAAGGAATGCTTTTGTGTGTGTGTGTATGTGTGTTTATTTTAAAAACTCTGATGCTCTTCAGTGCATTTTAAAGAAAGTGTTTGAAGCTTTCAAATTTAAGTTGCTTTTTATTCTTCAATGAAATAAAAACCACCGTTTGTACACTCGTAGTTTTCAACTTTAAATATTGTCTTTCATCGTTGTAAACCACCTTGGGTCCTTTTCAAGGAGAAAGACAAGGTAAAAATATTATAAATAAATATTGAAAAGATGTATTTTTGCCTTATCAGGCTATATAAGCCCTTAGATTATTTTACTCTTAAAAGAGTCTTTACTTAATGAAGATCCTCCTGTATTTCAACACTCCTGTGTTTTGTATTCAATTTAAGTTCACCTTTTCGTTTTGTATTCAAGTACAATTTAAGTTCACCTTTTATGCACTTAAGTATTTTTCCCTACAGCTTTGTTCATAGCTGTAAGGACAATTTTGGAAGATAAAGCAGTATGTATGTGACTTCTCAAAAGTTACATGTTTGTAATATTTTTGGACTTTATATCTTTCACATGAAACCTAGAAATGATGTAAACAAATGGAACTCCTACCAAATTAACAAATTCAGGAGAGGCCTGGAATGATTGCAAGAAAGAAGACACTCATAATGAGATACCCAGAGGAGTTTCACAAACAGCTTGTTATTGATGATTTAATTTCATTCTGGTATTAACCCTTTACTGGGATAATGTCAGCTATGATGGATCACAGAATCTGTTGTCTTTGCCTGGAATGTCTGGAAATCTTTCCAGGACTTCCAGCGGAGTCAGTAATTCAAATCAGGATCTGACACATCTACCTTGCCCTTACTATGCTTCCCCCCCCCCCAATATACACTGTGTGTGACTCCAAAATTAGACATGAAAACAAAGCTACTGATTACTTTTTAAACATAATCCCAATGGCACATAACCTTATTTTAACACACTTTCACAATTACACCTTTTTTGCCACTTAAGGAAGCACTCCACCTAGACATGGATTTCTCAAAGCATGCACTTTAGCTCATGTCTTTGAAACACGGCAGCCACAATACCAGCCACGGTGGGTAAAGTCCCCTCTTTAGGTTCCTCTCCTGCAGCCGCCACAGCTTCTTCCTCCACCACCACTGAAGCAGACTCAGAAACCTCCCCTTCCATGGTCTGCGGTGGCACGGAGTCCATACCTATAACTGAGGAGAGAAGAAAGAACAAAAGCAAGCAGTTAAGCAAACAAAAGCAATAGCTTGTGTCTATACAATAGCTCAATAGGGACATGGTGGCGCTGCGGGTTAAACCGCAGAAGCCTCTGTGCTGCAAGGTCAAAAGACCTGCAGTCGTAAGATCGAATCCACGCAACGGAGTGAGCCCCCGTCGCTTGTCCCAGCTCCTGCCAACCTAGCACCTCAAAAGCATGTAAAAATAGCAAGTAGATAAATAGGTACCACCACGGTGGGAAGATAACAGCATTCCATGTCTAGTCACGCTGGCCACACGACCACGGAAACTGTCTACGGACAAACGCTGGCTCTATGGCTTGGAGACGGGGATGAGCCCCTAGAGTTGGACACAACTGGACTAAATGTCAAGGGGAACCTTTACCTATACAGTAGCTCAAGCCATCATTAAGTCATGCTTGACAACAGGGTTTCCCCGACCACCTTTTTTGGGTGGCTATTATTCATTGAGGCTGCAGTGCTACTGCTCAATCCTCCCACACTCCGAAAGCTTGAAGCCTCTATTTGTACATTTTACAAATGAACAATTTAGGATGGACCTTTTGGAATGAAAACGCTCGACCGCACAGTTCTTTTTATGGATCTGTACAAAAGGTGGGAAAAGGTGTTTTTTGGGGAGGTGGGTGGGGTGATGGCCTACACTTCGAAAATCCCTCAGCCAGCACGATCAGTGGCCATGTTAGGTAGGGAAGTTGGTCCACCGCAGTCCAAGCAAATCACTTTTCCAAAGGCTGGTAAAATTCCCTGACAGGTGATGTCACTTATGGCAAGGCAGGGTTGCTGGATTCAAGCTAATTTTAGGGCCTATCCACATTTTGTGAAATTTGGTGCCATCCGGCCACTGCTTAAGGGGTTCTTGTGTCTAGAGCAATCTATTTTAACTTGCAGAACCCATCCACGAAGGCAGAACAAAGAGCAAATTCGGCATCTCGATGTATCATACCAAAAAGACTGCATGCCCTAGCCATGGGGCAGAAAGATACGGGCCAGCTCTTAAAGAGGAAGGATGGAGCATTTTAAGCAGAAACACAAATGGATGAGATCTTTTTTTTCTAGGACAAAGAATGGTATCGGAGAACCATATATCATAAGTATATGCCAGTGTGGACTGGGTCTTAGAAGGATACCGTTCTATCAACCAAGAAATTTCCAGGGCTTTTTTTGTAGACTACTCCCCACTTCCTCAGATACACATATTACTAGTTTTCAAGGTGTCGCAAAAATCTTTCTTGATTGTCTTTTGCACATCTGTCTCCCGATTCCCATCCTCCCCTCAACATGCAAGGCTTAAGGAGCGAATTTCAAGCCCACCCTTGAGAACAATTCACACCTTTAGTGATGCTTGGAAGCATCTCAATTTCCATATACCCAACTGGGCAGCCTTACCCTGAAATCCTTTAGTGCATTCTGAAGGAAGAGCGGAAGTGGCTTCTTGCGATGGGCTTGGTTCACTGCTAAGACAAGGAATTGCTTAAGTGGACGATTGAATATTCGGAAATGGGGCGGGGGGCAGGGGATGAAATGCATGCACACATTCTTACCTGGATGTGACATCTGCCAACAGGCCAGCTTCGCCCTCCTTGCAAAACAGATGAAAACTTTTAGCATTTATAATAAAATGTCATATAGTGCACACTTTCATTGTTGAAGAGTTCAGGTCACATGGATGATTCTGGGGGTGGTGGTAATCATCGAAGAGTTCAGGTCACATGGATGATTCTGGCCAGTGGTAATCATCCAGCACACCATCTGGATCAATCCCAAAAGGGAGCTAAAACCAGCAGCAGTCCTGCTTATGTATTTGAGAGACATGTGCCATAAATGCCATCTCTACATGCAAACCTATGTTGCCTTTTTATTTGCATTCTCTTTGCATCGGAGGAAGGTGTGCTCTCTGTTGCTTGGGCCATTTTAGCAGCAGCTGTTTCCTGCTGCACCAGAGAGAAGGTGTAAAAATAACTACAAAGGTTTCTACAGAAAAGAGAGCCTTTTAAAAAAAATCTAAAAAGATGCAACCAGGCCGTTTTCCCTCTTGTACCGTTCCAGTTAGGTAAAGCATTTGCTATCAGTTTGCTAAGAGTTCACAGTTGGGCCAGCCCTGTCATTAGGCAAAGTGGAACGGATCCCCCAGAGGTGTTCCTGCCATCATTTACTTATTTTATTTCATTCATGTAAAATATGTATACGCCACCTTTAGGATCCAAGGTGGCTTACAGTAATTAAAGAAACAAAGTTAAAAGCTACATAATACATTAGTACAATATTCTAAAAAGCATCAAAAGAAAGATATAGTAAAAGTCACAATAAGAGTAATATTAGAACCACAAACACAGGATAAAAGTATGTATCCCTTTTCAAAAAATTCCCCTTGGGCAACTGGTCATTTAAAGGAAAGCCTGCCTGAAGAGAAAGATCTTTGTCTTCTTGCAGAAGGACAGCAAAGATGGATCCAGCCTGATTGCCTTTTTTTTNTTTTTTAGATCCCAGCCATCTTTTGGAAGAGAGAACTGGCCCCCATAAGGCCTATTCTGGGCCCCCAAACTAGTCTGCAGCTTCAGGTGTGGGGTTGATACTATCCTGTTAGCCACCAGTCCAGCTGGCTTTCAGGCAAGGAATGGGGTACCTTTCACGGCCGGGATCTAATGGTTGTTGTGGGTTTTTCGGGCTCTTTGGCCATGTTCTGAAGGTTGTTCTTCCTAACGTTTCGCCAGTCTCTGCAGCCGGCATCTTCAGAGGACAGCACTCTGTCCTCTGAAGATGCCAGCCACAAAGACTGGCAAAACGTTAATAAGAACACGGGCAAAAAGCCCGAAAAACCCACAACAACCAATGGGGTTACCTCTTTGGCCTTTGTCTGATGGAGCAAAATGTACAAAGGTCCCACCCTTGTCCATGATCCAGACCCACTTTTTTAACAACCAAGAACGCTTAAAAGTCAAGCCTGTTCTGTACAGCGTAGACTAGTTCTTTAAAAAACAAACGGTGACAGTACTCACAGCATTTATAGTGGTTGCTGACGTTGCCTCCAAGCAAAACCATGCCTCATTGGTTTTTTTAAAATTCAGAGTAAATAGCCACAAACTGAAAACTGCAAAGCATGCCCATTTTAAAGTTAACAGGCAGAAGTTAATCATTGTAGGCAGTGTAGGTATGGCTCACTGGGTTGGAGGCCCTGGCTCCAACCGGCCACTGTGCCTTGTAGGAAATGGTGATGATTCAAAGCATGAATGACTAGAGGATTACATGCTCCGGCCTTGGGCAAGCGGCACCGACCCAGAACACCACCAGAAGGAGGGGATTCCAAGAACAGAATAAAATAACACTTTATTATCCTTGCATGTGCAACGAAACTGCCAGAGTGCTATCCAGACAGTGCATCGCTCATTCAGCTAAAACTCCATGTAAATTCCTTACAAACATTCAACATAATACAAGGGCAACAAAATACATTCACATGCAACCCTACAATAAAGTCCGATTAAATCTTAACTGAATTTAGCAAAGTCTATTTGTCCTTGTTTTAATAGATCTATATCGTCTTCCTGATGGCAGTAGTTCAAGGAAAGAGTGTCCAGGGTGGGAGGTGTCCTTTATAATATTTTGTGCTTTTTTTTTTTTAAGACAGCGGGACCTTACAGCTCCTCCAAGATGGGGCAGGGACACCCAACAATCTTCTGTGCTGTATTAATCACCCTCTGGAGTGATTTTCTCTGGGCCACTGTACAACCTAGGTGCCACGTGCCACCAAGCAGAACTTGATGCCTAGACAAATCCAGGATGGTTGCCGTAACTCAAAATCAACTTTATGGGCACATCATCATCTAAACAACCTGTGGAATTCCCTGGTCTCCAAAGACATTTACTCTCCTTTGTTTCAAAGCTCAACTCATAGCAAGATATATCTTTTCAAAAATCAAATCACCTTTTTTGCACAAGCTCCAGGCTGTATAATAAAGACTCAGTGACTTCATTTTTCATCCCTTTCTATGGATGTTTCAAAAGCAAAAGGTTGAGAGTATCACCATTCAAAAAACTCTGAATATCTGAGTCACGCTGTGCTACCCTACAGAAAATATGGAGGTGAGGAGGAAATAGGGAAACTGCAGAAAGAACATATAAGAGGGCTTGTACACTGAAGGGATCCCTATCAGAACCTCTCTTTGTAATATTCCATGAATTAGGGTGCAGTCATATGGACATAGTGGTGCTGCAGGTTAAACTGCAGAAGCCTCTGGACTGCAAGGTCAGAAGACCAGCCTTCGTAAGATCAAATCCATTGCTTGTCCCAGCTCCTGCCAACTTAGCAGTTCTAAAGCATGTAAAAATGTGAGTAGATAAATAGGTACCACCATGGTGGGAAGGTCACGGCATTCCGTGTCTAGTCGCACCGGCCACGTGACCACGGAAACTGTCTACGGACAAACGCTGGCTCAATGGCTTAGAAATGGAGAACGGAAACTGTCTACGGACAAACGCTGGCTCAATGGCTTGGAAACGGAGAAGAGCACTGGCCTCTAGAGTTGGACATGACTGAACTAAATGTCAAGGGGAACCTTTACCTTACCATATGGTCTTATAGCTCACATTTGGGACTCCTTGTGGCACAATCCAGTGTGAACTCTTTTCTGGGGATTAGACGATGTACAGGAGATTGCAAACCAGCCCAGCCCTAGTCTATCCCCAAGCCAGGCCTTTTTCCTCCAATGGTAGTACTCTTTTTCTTCTTCTTCTTCTTCTGAGCTGGCATGGACCAATTCATGTATGCACAGAAGGGCTGATTTAAGAAAGATTGCTCCCAACAAAGCCAACATTTCCAGCACAATCACATGAAATCCTTTATCACCATCCGAGATGGAAAAAGGACTGATGTCACCATATGTGCAGCTCTGTATCATTTAATAGCAAGTTAGTAATCTGGCCAATTGGCATAGCATTGTCATTGGCATGGGCGTCCAACAAGGATGGAGGACTTGGTCCTCCGAGGAATCCTATGTTTACTCTTGGTTCCCCACTGCCCTGGAGTGTCTCCTTTGTGCTATTTATCATGTTGCCTGATGTGATTGTAGCTCAAACGCTGAGCAAATGACCTCCAGAAAGCCCCAGATTCTATTGGCAGCATTGCTGAATGGGCCTAAAAAGAATCTGTCCATAACCACTGGAGAGCTACAGTTCGCCAGTGTGGAGAACACACGACTCAAAGCACCAGTCGGGTGACTCAATATATGGCACCTTCCTGACTGGAGATCTTGCTTGCAGAAATGACTTACGCTCATGCTGAATGCCACTGGCTATTTTTCTGAATCACACCCTTGGCACGCAAGCAAAACTGAGAAAAAGGAGGATATGACACAGTAGATTCCAATTTAGAGAAGCTCCGGCTTGCACATTACCAGGAAGACTAGGTAACTAGTCTAGGTAACATTAGAACTACTGTTCTAGTGTAATGTTGGGTTCATACCCAACGCTACACTAGAACAGCCACCTTCCAGACAGATATGGCATAGAAGCTCTCTGTCACAGCTCACGCCAAAACTCTCTCTCCACATGGTAAACAGTGTGCACTCACATGGAAGGGTAGCCAGCACAAAATGCCACAGCTTCATGGATTTTAATTTGACATGTTCCCCCCACAAAAAAAGTAATTGCTTTATGAGAAGTACAAATGAAAAGCAGAGAAAACTAACCTCAGTCAAGCTCACCTCCATCCTTGTGTCCAAAGCAAAGTCTGGATCCGTCTGGTTCCCTACCGAGCGGCGGTTGCACCTGACAACAGCAAGAAATGGATTTGCATATGGTAACCAAAGCTTTACATTTCAGCATCCTTTCTCCCGAAGCAAGACACTGGGAGCTATTTTTAGCTGTAGCATTTACATAGGTGGAGAGTCCACCAGCTGCAACATAGAAACCAGGTTAGGGACGTAGCTGTAGACCAGAATGGAAGAATCAGGCCTTGGCAACCTCCCAAGTCAACTCAGTTAGCGTTTGGGCAATGTAGAAAAGGGTGAGGCAGAAGTTGCATCGCCTCCAAGGAACCTGCGATCTCAAAAGCAATCATTCCCAAAGGCATTGTGCTGTGCTGGAGGTTTTGTTTTGTTTTAATGGTACATCTCTGGCACAACTTGAAAAACTTATATCTCAAAAGCAATCATTCCCAAAGGCATTCTGCTGTGCTGGAGGTTTTGTTTTAATGGTACATCTCTGGCAGAACTTGAAAAACTTACTTCTTTAGACCACAACTGGATGGCCAAGCTAGCTGGTGATTCTGGAGGCTGCTGTCAAAAAGGCAACTTCAGATCTCTGTCACTGTTCCACTTCAGAACAGTAGGGGACTAAACAACGCTTAGTCTCCTGGATTGCAAAGAGATGCCTTTGAATTGTGGTGCTGGAGGAGGCTCTTGAGAATCCCCTGGACTGCAAGGAGAACAAACCTATCCGTTCTGAAGGAAATCAATCCTGAGTGCTCACTGGAAGGACAGATCCTGAAGCTGAGGCTCCAATACTTTGGCCATCTCATGAGAAGGGAAGACTCCCTGGAATAGACCCTGATGTTGGGAAAGTGTGAGGGCAGGAGGAGAAGGGGACGACAGAGGACGAGATGGTTGGACACGGTCACCGAAGCGACCAACATGAATTTGTAGCAGTGGAAGACAGGGGGCCTGGCGTGCTCTGGTCCATGAGGTCACGAAGAGTTGGACATGACTTAACAACTAAACAACTACAAACAATGCTGGCTGGAGAGCTCAATGGTTTAGTTGTCTGGCTGTGAAACCAGAGGTTGGGAGTTTGATTCTCCACTGTGCCTTCTGTGAGTAGAGCCAGCCTGTGTAGCCCTGGGCAAGCTGCATCATGAACCACTTCTAAAGACCCTCTACCTGGGAAACCCTGAAAAGGGTTGTCATAAGTCAAAATTGATTTGACGGCACCACGACACACTGCTAAAATGCCTTGCATGAAATCATCACTGTAGATGGGCCATCAGGCACACTCTGCGGTGCAAAATCTTATTGCAAAAGCCAAGCTAGGAAACATTGCATTTTTGATGGTGACTTCAAGAACCCTTCAGTGAGTAAAGCCAGTGGTTTGACAACTGTGATTTTTTTTTTAAAAAGAGTCCCGTATTCAAACTCTGCTGATGTTTTCGTAAAAACAACATCTCAAAGAACCATCAGTGACAAAATAAAATAAGAGACTGCATGAGTACTAGATCTCACAATATTTCTAAAATATGTCTGGGGCTGTAGAACAACTGGCAGAGGTGAAGAACTGAAATCTTGTGAATCAAGCGCTAGAGATCCTCTCCTGATACAATGTGGGTTATCCAAGAGGTTATACGTTCCAAACACGAGAGGCTGCAAATGGGGAAGGACAGGATTCTCAACATTATGTACAAATCTCCAAAGTCTTCATCCATCAAAATCAGCAACCTGAGGTATGATCCTAGAATGCGTCAGGAAGCATATAGCCCCAGTGCAGATCTTCAAGGTCTTTACAAAACAGTTTCAGCAGCTTCCAAAATGCATGTGCAAAAGTGCTTTGAATTTTGAAGAAGTTGGGCAGTTTTGTGCATTAGCCCAGACACAAGAGGAGAAGGGAGACTAAGGTACAAAATGAGAAGGTACAAAACATGTAAGAAAGAGTTCAGCTATAGAGCCAGGGAGGGCTTGCATTGTACACATCCTCCATCCATCATCGTCGTGGTCATCATCAAATCAATTCTGACTTATGGCGACCCTTTTTAGAGTTTTCTAGATAACAAATACTCATAAGTGATTGACCATTCCTTCCTTCCAAGGGTGTCTTGGGACAGTAGAGGTTGCCCAAGGCTTCACAGGCTGGCTCTTTTCCCAGAACGCACACTCCCAACTTCTGGCTTCCACAGGTTGGCTCTTTTCCCAGAAGGCACACTCCCAATTTCTGGCTTCGCAGCCTGATACTTAAAACCACTGAGCTATCCAGCCGGCTCCATCCACAACACTTAAAACCACTGAGCTATCCAGCCAGCTCCATCCACAATTGTTGTTATTGTTGTTTAGCCGTTGTGTCCGACTCTTCGTGGGCCCATGGACCTGAGCATGCCAGGCCTTCCTGTCTTCCACTGCCTCCTGGAGTTGGGTCAAATTCATGTGGGTCGCTTTGGTGACCCTGTCCAACCATCTCATCCTCTGTCCTCCCCTCCACAATAGAGCCTTTTAATTGATCTTGCGTCTGCAGCTGACTATTTAAATATCTGGATTCTGCTCTTACTTGTGGACTTCCAGCATCACATCCGAGAGGGTCTCATTTCTCAGTTGCCGTTTCTTGAAAGCAGACTTGATTTTAGTATTTTCAAGGTAACTGGGCACAGAACTTCTCTGAATCAGATGGAGAGAATCAAGAGCCAACGCATCTGCCAAGAATAGATACAGCAGTTGTTATAATGGAAAGGAGTCTAAAGGTATTATGATGTATTCCTGGAATCCCACAGAACAAGGCTGTTAAATGAAGCAGGAATATTTCAAGGCATGCAGGACTGAGCTAGTCACCCAGGCTTTCATTCAGAATTAGAAGCACAAGGAAAAGATTCCTTTTGGGGAACAGGTCAGAGAGAGGAAGGAGGAAAGTGTGGTCTGGACTAGAAGCACATTCTGGATTGGATCCCACTAGACTAGGAGCACATTCTGGATTGGATCCTACTACTGCTTCTTCTTCAGAACAAGAAGTGGCTCAGGGACCTGCTTATCTCCTAAAAGCACACAATGCGTGCTGTTTAGAAGTATGCTCATTCTTCTAAATGTACATTCACTCCCAACCACGTACAATGTTTGCATGTACCCGGGACTGAATACTGGATTCCATAAATATGAAGAAGTGGATTGTAATCCATGAAAGTTCATGTTAAAAACAAAAGTGTTAATATTAGAAGTGCCACAAAATTCTTTTCCTTCTCAACTTGTTATGCTGAAGGGGAGAAGTTTCCACTCATTTTTCTCCCATTTCATCCCTGTTTGTCACGGAAGATCCCAGTTGTGTCTAACCGACTAGTCAATAAAAACTACTTCCCCCAAAAAACTATTTCTCTGCAAAAAGTCTTTCAAATCCTTCATTAAAAGTGTGAAAATGTTTTTTATCAGCTTCTCATGTAGAGCCTGACTTACTTACTTACTTATTGGCAAGTTGTAATTTCAAATATATTAATTTAAGTGATTTAGTGCATCAGTGATGAACTAGCAGATGCAAAAAAAGAAAAAAACAAACCCTCACTTCCCCGTCCCTCCATAGAGGAGCAAGGGAACTGTCCAATTTGCTCATTGTTCATTTATTAAGCCACTTCATGATACTGGAAATTCAAATTGGAAGGAGCCTTGGCAGCTCTGACAGCTGCCAGGTTTGATTTTAGTACATTCCTAGCAATCGCACATACTGGAAGTGGACCAAACTGGAAGTAGAAGACCCTGAGAGGGGCTCTAAAAGCTGTGGGTTGGGGTCCCCTTGGGGCAAATTGGTCTGCTCATCATGCGGCCACCACATGATGAAGGACCCAAACAGGAGGACAAATGCCAATCTGAAAGAGGTTTCTGTTTTGTGATTGGAAGCATTTTTGCAAATCTGTTTCAAGAGAATCAAGTCGCTAGAAAACTAATTTGCTTTCAGTTTTTCTAACAGCGATTTATCTGAATTGCCTGGATAACCAAGGACTATTTAAGTCAAATCTCTTTTTGGAAAATCTGCACTATTCCTACCAAACTTCACTATATCAAAATGGTCTTACCTAGCAGCAAAGTATTTTGTGAACACAAGAATCCCGAGGTGGTTGACGAAGACAAGCCAAAAAGTCGATTCTCATGAGCGCCAAGTCTTTGGGAGCAAACAGCTACCTAATTACAGAAAAGGAACTTAAGTTACTTTGTCCACCTGCTGCAACCAGTAAGTTATTCACTTTATATATCTTTTGCCAGCAAGAAGCAGTCAAGCTACAGAATGATGCTGCTGACTTATTTGACATTTCTTCCTGTATTTTCATAGCAAGGCATTCACTCAAAGACTTTGCTAGCTTTAGGGTAAGATAATGCGAAATTTCTTTTCTCACAAGAGAGTTTTATAAAGAAATCCTAAGGAGAAACAATGCCCCTTGGAGAGAGGACAACAGTCTTTGAAGCCATAGCTCAGTGGTTTAGGTATCTGGTTGCAGAGCCAGAGGTTGGGAGTTCGATTCCCCATCGTGCATCCAGGGAGAACAGCCAGCCTGGGTGGCCTCGGGCAAGCTGCACAGTCCCAGGGCACCCCCAGAAGAAGGTAAAGGGAAACCATTACTGAGTATTCTCTACCTAGAAAACCATAAAAAGGATCTCCATAAGTCAGAATCAACTTGACGGCACACAATTATTATTATTATTAGAAAATAAGGTAAGCAAAAACTGCAGTTTTTCTGCACAGTGCCAAAAACAATGGCCATTGGTGACTCCAGTTTTGCAGTGCTGTGAATCCACCCTAGGTTTTAGTCTCCAGCAGGAGTGGATTCACAGCTTCCACCAGAAGTGGAACCATGATGCACCACTGAGCGAGAAAACAGTGCAGAGAACGCCTTCTCTTTTTTTCTTTTTATCTGTTGTAGTCAGTTGTGTAGGATGAAGGGAAAATAGAAAACTAATCCCAGGAATGTTTTTACCCCAAGTAGAAATGAGGAATGGATGGTGTGACTGAGCGATTGGTGGGTTCCTACCCCTCTGCTCTGCAGTGTAAATACAGTGTTTATATAGCAAGGTCTCTGTCTGAATTCCACTGTACCTAGACGGCCCTACAGGACTCTTGGGTTTACTGTTTAATGCCAATTTAGAATCTTGCACTAGGGAACTTTAGCACACTTCCCTCAACGAGGTGTCTTTAGCAGAGAGTATAGAATTTTAGTTGTGTTAGCCATAGACCTTAGTGAGAGAACTATAAAATTTATAAATATATAATATCAACACATTAAAATCAAGATAATAAATATATATACATCAGACATATACAGTATACCTGTGCAAAAATTAGAGAAATAGATCTATAAAATGTTACTATTTAGAAATTATATTTAGCCCAATTTTAATTGCGCCTGCCAAAAATTTAGCTGACTGCACTATCAGCCATTTACCTTGGTGCACAAGGAGAAAGCTCTTCTCATCTCTTGGACGGAAGTCTGAGTACAGTGGTGCCTCGCTTAACGGCGATAATCCGTTCCAGGAAAATCACTGTTAAGCGAAAACATCGTAAAGCGAAAATAAAAAGCCCACTGAAACGCATTGAAACCTTTCAATGCGTTCCAATGGGCTTAAAACTCACCGTCCAGCGAAGATCCTCCATATGGCGGCCATTTTCACTGCCTGTATAGCGAGGAATCCGTCCCTAAACACAGCGGGGAGCCATTTTATTTACCCGGTGGCCATTTTGAAACCGCCGATCAGCTGTTGAAAAATCATCGTTTTGTGAAGAATTTGTTCCCAAAGCAGGGAACCGATCATCACAAAGCGAAATTCCCCCATTCAGATCATCGTCATTAAGCGATTTCGTAGTAATGCGGGGCAATCGTTAAGCGAGGCACCACTGTATAGTAAAACCCTGTTATCCACAGGATCAGTATCCACTGATTCACTTACCCATGGACTGAAAATATGAAAAATGCTGAAAGAAAATAAAATACATAAAAATATTTTCACATACATTACCAGAGCCAGCCAATGGATGGAGCCAAAGACTATGCTATAAATACTTGGTGAAGAATATACAGCGGTCCCTTGAGTTACAAACTTTATTGGTTCTGGAAGGTCAAGTTGGTCGTAACTCAAAGCACCATTTCCCACAGGAATACACTGAAACGTGATTAATCCGTTCCAGCCAGGGGAACCCCCCCCCCCACAAAAAACAAAAACAAAAAATACTGCAAGACCCATCGGAAATGCGATTAATCCATTCTGGCAAACACACACACACAGAAAAAACAACAATACTGCAATACCCATCACAGCAGCATAACCACCCCCAAGCCCTAACCCACGCTGCAACCGTAGATCAAGTTGGTCGTAACTCAAAACACCATTTCCCACAGGAATACATTGAAACGTGATTAATCCGTTCCAGCCAGGGGAAAAAAACCCCCACACAAAAAACCCAAAAAAACAAAATACTGCAAGACCCATCGGAAATGCGATTAATCCATTCTGGCAAACACACACACACACACACACACACACACACAGAAAAATCAACAATACTGCAATACCCATCACAGCAACATAACCACCCCCAAGCCCAAACCCACGCTGCAAAGTTAGCAGTTTAAATTCCCTGCCTTTTTTCGGTCATATCTCAAAGCCCCGATCGCAGTCAAAGCACAATATTGTGGCCGGAGCTGCTCATAACTTGAATTGGTTGCAAGTCAAGACGTGTATAGCATGGTCTCTAGTGGCCAATTCTGGTAATGCATGTGAAAATATATTTTCTGCCCCCCCTCCCAAATTCCTCTGAAGCCTCCTCTGAACGCACACTCTCTAACCGCTGGGGCGAAAGAGCTACAGAAAAGCAGACTCTTCACCGACCAACGGTTAGCAGTTTAAATTCCCTGCCTTTTTTCCGGTCATATCTCAAAGCTCCGGTCGCAAGTCAAAGCACAATATTGCAGCCGGAGCTGCTCATAACTTGAATCGGTTGCAAGTCATAGGAAACATCGCTAAGCGAAACACAGTTCCCCAATTTAAATGCATTTAAACCTATTCAATGCATCTCAATGGGGGGAAAAATTACAACATATTTAAAAATAGTCAGAACAAAGTCAAATTAGTTTAACAAAGGATTTATTAAGTGCACTTATGATTTCAAGCATTCTAAACATTTTTAAACCTTTTTAAACATGTAAAAAACAGCCAACATGAGACTGTCAAAACCATCGTTAAGCGAAACAGGGGGACCCAAACTGTCATCGCTATGCGAAGCATGGTCCCAAACATCGCTATGCGAAAATCGCTCATAGGGAACATTGTTAAATGGAGTGCAAGACTGCTCTGAAAAAGCCATCGCTAAGCAAATTCGTTAAACGAAGCGCTCGTTAAGCGAGGCACCACTGTATATAGCATTTGCTATTGTCCATGGTTTTCAGTATCCACGGGAGGCTTGGAACCAATCCCCAGTGGATATGGGGGTCCTACTGTATCTAAACAAAATGCAAACTCTAGGAAGGAGTAAAGGCAAGTCAAGTGGTATCAATCTGTTGTAGCTGTGTAGCGTAGATACACCTAGCATTGTCAGAAAGCCCTATTCTGGAGGTATCTCTCGATTCACCATGAGTGCATGAGGGAAATGGGTCTCTTTGCACAAAGCTGTTCACCCACCTGCCATAGAAAGTTTGACATTCACCCATTTGCTACTGTTCCATGTCTCCTACATTAAATACTTGTGTGGTCAAAGAATGTTTTGAGACTTACCTTCCCTCCTAGTCTTCTCTTATCTTCTCCATCTGAGATGGGAAAAGGACTGGCCTCACCATATGCACAACTTTGTTTTAATTTAATAGCAAGTTAGTCGTCTCGTCTGGCCTACCGACATAGCATCATCATCAGGTGTCCAAACCTAGTCTTCTCTTATCTTCTCCATCTGAGATGGGAAAAGGACTGGCCTCACCATATGCACAACTTTGTTTTAATTTAATAGCAAGTTAGTTGTCTTGTCTGGCCTACCGACATAGCATCAGCATCAGCATGGATGTCCAAAGATGATGGAGGTCTTGGTGGAATCCTATATTTGTTTATTATTTACATATATCCAGACAGGTGCACTGAATTGCAACAGTGCAAGACAGAGAAATGTGAATAAAAAAGATTAAAGACACATCATACCTGGCAAACCACTCCATGTGATAGTCCTTTAAAACACTTTTCCCTGAGCGAGTCGAGAGCAGCTAAGAAACAAGATGTTGAAAACACTGGTCAACAAGCTGAAGTCCACCCTACTAGCCATTAAGCAGTCGACCTTTCTATAAATGTCAGCTGATCCCAATAAACTGGCCATTACTATGCTATGTATTGTATGAATCTCTGTGTGTACCTGCATAAGAGAGAGGGACAGGTTTGAATCAACACAGCTTGTCTTCATTTGTAGACTTTCCATTCCTCTACCCTTGCAGAATAACAATCACCATTTTGTACAAAAACAAAGGGATTTTGTGCAAAACTACAAGCATTTTGTGATAAATCTACAGTGGTGCCTCGCTTAATGACGATAATCCGTTCCAGGAAAATCGCCGTTAAGCAAAAACATCGTAAAGCGAAATTAAAAACCCCATTGAAGCCCGTTCAATGTCTTCCAATGAGGTAAAAACTCACCGTCCAGCGAAGATCCTCCATATGGTGGCCATTTTCGCTGAATGTATAGCGAGAAATCCGTCCCTAAGCACAGCGGGGAGCCATTTTAAGCACCCGACTGCCATTTTGAAAACCCGATGATCAGCTGTTTTTGATCACCATAAAGCGAGAACTGATCATCGCTAAGCAAAATTCCCCCATTTATACCATCATTTTGCGATCGCAATTGCGATCGTAAAAAGATCATCATAAAGCAGATTCGTCGTAATGTGAGGCAATCGTTAAGTGAGGCACCACTGTAATTTCCATAATTCTTTCTTCAAAAGAAAAAACCCAAAACGGAAATAATGTACCCAAGTTATCAGGGTCTTCTCTAGAAAGAAAAAATCTTTCACCTTTTCTTGTTCCTCCAACCCCATGAGCAAAGATGGACATCCCTAGCAGAATTCAGTGTTATCATCCTGTGAGATTCTAGGAGGTGTCACCTAAAAAAGGCTGATGTTTTCAAGGTTCTCTGTGGATTGTCTTCTGGTACCATCCCAGGGAGATGGGATAACTTCCTCAGGCACACAGGAAATGCTGACTTTATTCCACAGTTGTTTCTTATGACTTTGGGACCAAATCCAATTAGCGGCAAGCAACACTGAACAATTCGTCATGCTTGCTGCCCCGAACAGTCAGCTAAAGGTGGAGTTCTTGCCAAAGAACTCCCAGGAGCAGTAATCACATGGGAAAGCCAATGTACCCGTGGATAATTTATTGGGGTGTATTTCTCCTACCTAATTACTACTGTACTTTCATGCCACAACAGTAGGACAGTAGACAAGATATTTTATTGGCATTGCATCAGGAAAGCTGCAGCAAGCGCTCCTGGAAGCAAGAGGAAGAGTTTTATGAAACACAAACACACTGGTTGACAGTGTTGAAAGAGGTTATGCAGAGGTCACCCCCTCTGCCGCCACATTTAAACCTCTAGACTCCAAAGGCATTTATTTCACTGCTCACTGCTCAACCATGCAAATTGAATTTGCATTGCAAGAAGTTTTTTTTTAATGGTACATTTTCTTGGCACAACTTGGAAACGTTACAATTTCTAGAGTGCAATGCCCAGAATCTCCCAACAGTGCAGCCACTGGGGATTTAGGGAGCAGTAGTTCAAAAATATCTTGTTCAGACCTTGGTCTCCTGTAAGTCTCAAGCCCCAAATCTGAGTCTCTGAGTCTTTGGCCTTGCTCCCCAAGCTCAGGCTTGTGACTCGGAACTCGGACTGCACATGTGCTGGCCAATTGATACATAGAAATGGCAGGCTGACTCTATGCATATGCCACTCTATCAGCTGGTTGGCGCATGCATGGGTGGGGGCAGCCCAGCTCCTGGAAGGACAGCTGAGCCTGCTGCCTTTGAAAAGGGCAGCAGCGGCAGGCAGGCTGATGGTGGGGGCAGGCCCCGCAGCCTGATGGTGGGGGCAGGCCCATAGGAACTTGACAATGTGACTCAGACAAATGGGTTCAAGTCATGAGTCAAGTCCCAAGCCCCCCCCCCCAGAAATCCCCGAGTTGAATCCAAGTCAAGTAGCCAGGGCAACTTGAGTCAGACTTGAGAGCAGGTTGTGACTTGTGAGCCCCCATCCCTGGATTGTAGAAAAAGGTGGAAGAGAATGACACTTGTGAGCCCCCATCCATGGACACTTGTGAGCCCCCATCCCTGGATTTTAGAAAAAGACCATCTGACATTTTCCCCCCAGTCAAAGGAAACCAGTTGAACAAGAATACTTCAAGAGGTTTAATCCCTTGGCTTAAACAAAGATTGGGGCTTTTTATCTCAGGCCTATATTAATCAGTTCATCCATGCAAGTTTGAACAGGTCACTATTCTGTTGTATATAGCATAAATTTTTTCCAAAACCGTGATGGGACAAAGCAGGCCACTTCTGCCTCCAGCTAAAACTGGCCACTCTCTTGGAAAGCAGAAACCATTGTTTTAATATCTTGAAGGTTAGGTGACTTTACTAGTGCCAGGACATCTACGCCAACCAGTCCTTTGAAATTTTATAATCCATGTTCATATAACAATTGCCTCTTTTTTTAAGTCTCTTCATTCTCTTCCACCTTCACTCATCATCGTGCTTGAGGTCTAAATACAGCTGTCCATACCCGTGAGCTTAGTCCATAAAACAACCTTTAAAAGATTTTTAAAGGTGCCACTAGATTTTGCCCTTAGTGCAGCCGTACAGTCTGTAAGATGATCTGTACCATCGTGCTTGATAAAGAGAATCTTGGAGAACCAGAAAGCCTGGGCACCTTGCGAGGGCTTTTATAACATTTTGGTGGTTCTAAGTTGCCCTCTCACTTTGCTTTCTGTTTTTTAGTGATGGGCCAAACGGTTACCTTGGTGTATTTAACAAGCATCCGTCATACTTACAGCTGCAGTCTTTTGCTTTCTGTTCCAGCAGCTGGCAAGTCAGCGTCAGCTTGCTGTTGGCCTCCCGGAGGCCGGCTTGTTCTGCAAGCGTCTCTTCCAGCTTCTTCTGCAGAGAACGGGCTTCTTCGCAGGCCACGTGAAAGTCCTTCTCCTGATCCTTAACCTGAGAGGGCAGGGGAAAGTCCACGACCCATCGCTAAAGCTCTCCGTCGGCCTCTCACAAAGGAAACCAGGAACACATCTCTTCTTTTTTTCCGGAAGCTTTGCGCTCCTGACGTGGTTCTGCATTTTTACACTTGCAGGTTCTACTGGTTTCTCAAGGCACGAGTGGCCAACCATGTCTTTCCTGTGCAAAGCAGTTAAAAGGGCAAGCCTCTTCCCACCCCAGCACAGCCTCCGCTTTAACTTCCTCTGCAGCCAGATTTTTGCAAGCATCAGATGAACACACATGTTCTGCTTTTGTAGATATGCTAGGTGGGAGCGACCTGCCCAGTGACCACAAAGCTTACCATTTCTGGAATGAAGAGATAGACTCATGCATAATAGCACTGATGTAAGCATTGAGGGTTATCATTACTGGAGACCTCCATAATCGGAGCCTCGTGGCACAGTGGTTAAACTGCAGTACTGCAGTAAAGACTCTGCTCATGACCCCAAGTTTGATCCTGATCGGTAGCGAATCAAGGTTGACTCAATTTTCCATCCTTCTGAGGTTGGTAAATTGGGTACCCAGCTCGCTGGGGATGGGGGCAGTGGCCAGCTTGCATAATTATATTGTAAACCCACCCAGAGGGTGCTTTAGGTGCTATGGGGTGGTATATAAGTCACAGATTTTGCTTTACTTTAAATTGAAGCAACTACTTCCAGGATCAATGCGAGATTTTGCCTTGGACCTGCCATGACATTTAGGGACGGCCATTGATAAAGCTGTGATGGGCACTGGAAAAGAGAGCCATGGGCGTCTTCTACAGTGATAAGAGAGCAACAGCAGCAATATTATGCTGGAATCTCATATGGATCCCCTGAGTCCAAGGATAGGGACCATGCAGCCTTCCAGACTTCACAACTCTCATTAGATCTAGTCGGTGTCGTCAACAGTGAGGCATTCTGGAAGATGTTCCTTGGCTACAGTGACTATTGGGTCATGGCCAGAGCTTGGGGCACATTATATTTGGGGTGGGTGGGTGGGTTGGTTCTACAACTGTTTCCAAGGGCTGAAATTTTAAAAAGCAGTTCTTTCAATCACTATTAGCCCCAACACTGCTTTGCTATCTAGTTCAAGGGTTGGATGCTGTGCAGAAAAAAGTGGCATATAAATACAAGAAACTGTAAATCGCCCAGGGAGTGCTTGAAGTGCTATAGGGCGGAAACCACTACGTAACTGGCCATATGAGTTGCATGGTCCCAGAATAAGATTTTGGTCACCAGGTACGAAACCTACCATTCGGTTGGCATCCTGCAGTTGCTTGTTTGCTTCTTGAAGTGTCGATCTCAAGACCTCCGCTTCGGCCACAGCATCCTCTTTGAGCCGCTCGATGGACTCTAGTTCATGCTGCCTGAAGAACATTAAAAAGCAAGATCTAGGAACAAGCAGAGGACTGTTCAACTTTCCATTGCTCCTTCTTACAAGGATGGTGGATTACGTGGACACACCATGAGACTTAGGTGCAATGTTCGGTATGCCTGATCCTCTGCCAGGGGCTTCCTGTATTCATCATTGTGGCGAAATGCCAACAGGTGATGTCATTCCTGCCTGTCAATCACAGAACCTCAAAAGGGAGGAGCCAAGGATAGGGCAGGAGGGGCGGAGTCAGAGAGACAGTTAGGGGAGGTGAAATGGCAGTTAGGGATTAGGAGCGAGAAGGAGAGGGTTAGTGAATTGAGCCGGAAGTGTTAGGAGAGGGAATTGAGAAGGTTAAACAATATTGAACAAGCAGGAATTAAATTATAAGCACTATAAGAGAGATATTGATTGAAAGTATATAGCAGTTTTGAATAAAAGTGATTGCCTCCATGATCCAATCCATGTTAATACAGTTCATATGGGATTTACCTTTATGATTTACTTGACAATAAAAGAATATTTGTTAATTAAACATCTGATTCCTAAGTTCAATAACCCTCAGTGTTGGCTGACATGAATTTGATTATGAAAATAGAATAAAGTTGTATTTCATAGGATTTATTTCAGAGCTGCAACGAAAAAGCTAGAAATCTGCTTATGTCCAGGTGCTAATTAGAGAGAAAAATGTACAAGGTCAGTTCTTCTCCAGCTAAAGAAAAAAAAAGAGTTAAGAAGAGCAAGCTGACCCTTATCTTATCTCAACTCCGATGGACAAGGACATAACTTCTTAATTTAAGAAAGATTTAGGGCACAAGGCCATCTAGGACTCAGTAGACCAAACCTCTGGACCGGACAGTACCCATAATCATATCTGGTATGCTACACTACGTGCCCATGCCAGCTGGATAGCTCAGTGAGTAAGGTATTTGGCTGCAGAGCCAGAGGTTGGGAGTTCGATTCCCCACTGCACCTCCTTGACAGGGGTTGGGCTCCATGGGGTCCTATCCTGCTCTGCAGTTCTAAGATTATTATTATTTCCAGAAAATTCAACACAGCGTTTTTCAAAAAGCCTCAACTCCTTTTACACATTTCCAAGCTAGTAGATCTGATGCAACAAACACATCACAAAGGTGAATAAATGTTTGGCATGCCCTTGACAGAGCACAGAGTGCTGTCCTCTGAAGATGCCGGCCACAGAGACTGGCGAAACGTTAGGAAGAACAACCTTCAGAACACGGTCAAAGAACCTGAAAAACCCGCAACAACCATTAGATCCCGGCCGTGAAAGCCTTCGCGGATACATTGAATAAATGTTATTTGGCAGAAACATTTAGCAGACACTAGTCCACTGAGTCAGATGTGCGGCGGGCTACATTCCATGAACATTTATTGTTATTAATGCATTATTATCCATGAATGTTTATATCACCTTAAACCTGTTTAAGGTAGCACAATTTTCTGTCGTAATTACTCCTCATAATATTACAGTTAAACTGGCATAGAACCAAACAGGTCTCTAGCACAGAAATGTCCTTTCTGTGCCAGCTAAAGATGCTACAAAAGTTACCCAAGAGAACAAAGCTAGTTGTCTGTGATCAGATCTGACTTTTACTTCCTTCAGTTAAAAGCTGCTGCATCGCATGTGTGTGTAAGGAAGTTTTGGAGAGGAACTGCAGGAGAGGGTAAGCTTGAGGTAGCCCACCACAAGACAGCATTTATGGCTCAAGGTCTCCCATTGAATTTAGTGACCAAATTGGGGGTGGGTGGGTTTGAACCCATGACTATTGACTATCCATCCTGTTGGAGTTTTACAGCTTGTCATGCTGCCTGTAGTTTGTTTGACTGGGAGGGACTTTTACGGGCTGGGGTGATTATCTGTCTATCCAACACTAACCAATCATTCCTTTCCAGCCATTGAATTCAAAGAGATTCCTGCCTCTTTGGTGAGTGTTTCTTTCCCTCTCTTTCCTGGGCTGTGGTCACACCAGCAAAATGTTTCCCAGTTCTTCTTCATTGATTTCAATTATGGGATGTGTGTCAGACAATGCAAGGCCATTGCCAAATCTTTTGGTTTGTCTCTCCACTATTTCTGTATCAAATCCCACACTCTGTGGAATTTTGTTGCAGGATTCATCACACAATTATACTTTTTCTAGCAAGCTGCCTTGTGTTGCTTCTACCTGTGATGTCATTTGCCTGTATGTCCCTCTAATTTTTTTAAAAAACATTAGTGAGCAGAGTGCCAATCCTTTGGAAAACTTACCATATTTTTCCATATATAAGAGAGAGAAAACCCTTTTCTAACCCAAATTTCTTTCTTCACTTTAATTCCTACTTTTCCCCTCCACGTTCTTGCGAGGAAAGTGCTTTCCCCCTCCACTTTCTTCGCAAAAAGTGGAGGGGGAAAGCAGGAATCAAAGCACTCGAGAGGAAAGCAGCAAAGGGCTCAGGGGAAGGACCGTCACCTGATGGAAGAACCTGCAAATAAGTGAAGCACAGAGGCTGATGACATATCGTATTTTTCCTTGTATAAGACGATAATGTCTAAAATCTTTAGATTAAAAATTGAGTGTTGTCTTATACACAGAAGTAAGGAGGGGGAAGGGTCAAAGCACTTTGATCGCTGCCTTCCCCTTCCACTTTCTTGCAAAGAATGTGGAGGGGGGAAACGGGGAGGAGAAAGGAACAGAGGCCAGAGAGAATTGCAGTAAAATAGTAGTGCCAAACATTTTTCTTGAATGCTTGGTCCTCTGACCCCAAGCTCCAATGGGAGGAGGAATCTGAGAAATCATTTGTGCTACACGAGGGCTTCTGAGAGAGTGATGGCAAGGGTTAAGGAACACCGCCTGCCTGTCCTGGACTGGCCCTGATTAAGATCAGAAACATTGAAGATATGCAATAATAAGAGCTGAAGTTCACAGGTCCATGCTCCACAGAGCCAGTCTTTCTGTGTTTTTAAAACCAGACTTCAATGGAATCCTCTGATTAAATCCTGAAGATGAGTCACTGAACAAAGCAAATGTATCAGTGGTAAAATAAGTTTCTGCTTTGACACTCAGATGCTTTTGTTAGTTAAGGATTCCCACTCCTAGTCATGGTCTGGCTCTAATGTCTGTTTCTGGCTTAGGACTTGTATAGGACTGTTAAAACCATCCCTAGGTAATGCTGTGAATGCCATCTCCCTGCTGATACATTTTACACTTCTACTGCATTTCACTCAGCACACAGAGATGAATATAAATGCCTGCCTTTTGAGACTCCACTCATCTCAAGAATGTACTTCTGATCGCAAAAACGTATTCCTAATAAAACTTGCCAGCCTTTACGGTACCGGACATTTCCTGATGAGAACGTCATAACGATGTCAATGGATGGGCACTTTGCATATAGGCAAAAGAGATAAATATCTACTCTCTCCATCCACATATGCATGCAAAAATGAATAAGAGAAAATGACCTGGATGAAAGGGCTTTCTTCAGGTGTAACTGTTCTGTTCTCAGTCTCCTCACACTCCCGGACATTTTGATTAGTTCCTTGTCCAAAGATTCCTTCTGAGCTCCCAAGAGGTCCAGCTTCTGAATCCAGAAAGTTCTTTTGTTCTCTAGTTTTTGCCTGAGATCCTGTATTGACATTTTAAAAAAGCATTAAAAAAAACTCATAATTGCAATTCTCATGTTACAGACACAGATCCAACAAAATGCTGGAAACTTCCTCTCTCTCTCCCTCCCTCCCTCTCTCTCTCTCTTTTTTTTAGTACAACAGCCCAGAATCATGCTGGCTAGAGGATTCTGGATGTTGCCACCCAAGCCAGTAATT